GCACACGGCCTTCCAAGAAGGTTAGCTGTTCTTTTGCTTCGTTTCCTCGGAACTGTGGGAGGGGTAGAAATGTCGTCGGTCACGGGCCCAGCGGTGTTCTTGGACAGAGTGTGCGCTGGCCAGACCCCAAGTGGGGAAAGAAACGGAGGCTCAGGGAGGCTGAGTCCCTGCTCTCCGCCACACAGCCCTCACCCTCACACCTCAGCCCACCTGCCTCCTCCTCTGGAGGGAGCCCAAAGTCAGCTGGGAGGTCCCGGCCCTCCAGATGCACGCTCCTGGTTTCTGTTGCTCATAAATGCCCCCAGCCTCCCTCGCTCACCTGCTTGTTTGCCTGTGTGACAGAGCCGGGGGACGTGGAGGCGCCCACCCCCGAACAAGTGGAGAAACTGAAGGAGGTGGTGGCCTTCCCGGAGGACTGCAAGGGCAGCGAGCACCTGGCTGTGCTGGCCTTCCTCTACCTGTACCTGTCCATCTGCCGGAAGCAGAGGTGCGTGCAGCCTCTGGGGAGAGCCAGTCGCTTCCTTTCACATGCAGGGCACCCGAGGACAGTGGGAGTGAGTTAGTCCGTGGCAGAGCTGGGAGCCAACATCCGTTCATCTTCACGTCAGCACTTAGGCTCCTCACCACCACCCACCACCCCCCGCAAAGCCAAATGCCATGCCTGCACCCTGGTATGGTTTCCCTCGAAGCCCCTTCGCCCCACCTCGCCCTGACTCCAGGGAAGCTCGATGTTGGGCACAGTGAGGGGTGTGTCTGCCTCACCCCTTCCCATTCCATCTGAGGGTGCTGGCCTCTGGCCAGCCCACTCCTCGAGGGTGTCTGATCTGTTGAGGGAGGGTCACCCCGGTGAGAGGGAGCATGGGCCCCCAACCCCACGCACCCCTGAGTTCTTCTGGACTGTCTCAGCTTCCTGCTCAGTGACACAGAGGCCAGCCCCATGAGATTCAGTGAGGCCCTGTGTATAGAGCTCAGAGCCTGGCCCGTGCGCTGGTAAGAAGGTTAGCTGTCCCCTAGTTTAATGTCATCAGAACGATCGGAGGGACACACGTGTTATCTGTCACAGGCCTGGCAGAGTTCTTGGGTGGAGTGTGTTCCCTGTCCCCAAAGGGGGGACCTCAGCCCCAGCAGACTTCATGGAGGACAGACCGCTGGCCCAGGCTGTCTGAGGCAGGACTTCCATCCCTGCCTGAGGAGCCCAGTTCAGAGTCTCCCAGGAGGGGTGTGTTCCATATAGGATGCCCTATTTGGAAATTAGGAAGCGTGCCTAAGTGAGATTACAGACTAGGGTGTATGCCAGATCTCAGGCAGGGGAACAGACACACTTCAGAGGCAGTGACTGCAAATGGTCTTGTACCCAAGAGCAGTGCTGTGTCCCGCCGTGGGGCAGGGGAGAGACGTCGTGGGACCACAGTTGTCGTGTGCTGCAGTCCGACAGCAGTGGAGCCAGAGCAGGCGCTGGGGCTGAGAGACGGCCAGAGAGGGAGGGACTGCCGTGGTAGGGGTCGGGGGCGGAACTTCACAGAGGCAGTGGCATCTGAGAAGGTTCTCGAAGTCTAGGTGGACGTTTTCCGGAGGTAAAGCAGTACAGGGTTATTCCCAGCAGAGGGGCTCACCTGTGCCACGGGCGGGACTGTGGGGCATGTTCAGGGAACAGGAAGGAGTTTCAAGCAAGAGGTCTGTGGTTGGCAAGGCCCTTTCCAGGAGCAAGTTGGAGACTGTAGTGATTTAGGTAAATCCAATGCTGGGTTTCTGGTCGTCTGCTTCACCATGAGTCTCTGCCAATAGGGGGGTTGAGAAAGCACCCACAGGGCAGAAACCGAGGCCAATTGCTTCCAGGCAGGCCGGAGGTCATGACCACTGTTTCAAGAGAGGCATGCTATCCGTCATGGTCGCAGATCAATGTGTATGAGTTGTTGAATGGAAAAAAATCTATGCCCGGTCAACTTCTACCCAAATGGCAACCAAGTTTTAAAGAGCAGAGAGAGAGAGACTCATCCTCGGTACCCTGCTGTGTTTCAGGACCCTGCCAAGCCTGGATGTGTCCGTGTGGTCAGAGCTGCCCACCGGGGCGGGCCTGGGCTCCAGCGCAGCCTATGCAGTGTGTCTGGCCGCTGCCCTGCTGACCGCCTGTGAGCAGATCCCCAACCCGCTGCGGGACGGCGAACACGCCAGCAGGTAATTGCACGCCTCCCACTGCCCTCCCTGGACCCGGGACCCACACAAGTGGGAGGGGATGCCACAGAAGGTTGCCACCAGAGTTCAGTTCATCCACGCACCCAGAATGCACTTCTACACGCGTCCTGTGATCAGTGCATGACTGCAGACAAGTTCTCTCAGTAATATACTCGTCTTAGTCTCCTTAAACCAAGAAGTCACTGCCCTGGGGTTGGCTCTGACCCATCCTATCCCTCTAGGACAGAGTAGGACTACCTCCCACCCCACCCCTGTGGGTTTATAAGACAGAAAATCTTTACAGGAGCAGAAAGCCTGCCTCGCCTTTAAGGTGACCAGGCGTCCCGCTTTTGGTGGGACAGTCCCGATTTTTAACAATCTGTCCTGCGTCCTGCGGCATTTTTTTAAAGTCCCGATTTTTAGAAAGAATGCACGACAAGCTAGGGAACTGTGAGAGAACCAAATTTTTAATCAAGAACCACCCCCCTTCCCCCCAGTCAATGGTGTCCCGCTTTACCAATGTTAAAATCTGGTCACCTTACTCTAAGGGTTCAAACTGCTGACATTGCGGTCAGCAGCCCGTTGCAGTGTAAGCCACCGCACCACCAGGGCTTTAAAAAGAAAAGGTCTTATCAGAACAGTGGCTCCTCACATTGATCCTGCGTGCTTCTGGCACCGTTAGAACAAGCCTCTGACCCGGCAGCGGCATTGACAGCACTAACTTCATCCGAGTGTCCAGTTCCACCGGGAACATCTCATCTCACCCGGGGTCCAGAATGTGTCCAGTATCTTCAACCATTCTGGGTAACCCCAGAAATAATTCAGGAGTTTGGTCAAGCGCTTCAGCAGCCTGAGGCTAAAGTTTTAAAGAATTATTTTAAAGTGTTTTTCCAGTGGGCAAAGCTGTAAGGCCTGGATTTCCCTGTGCCCACCTCATGATCAATCAAGAATTCCAGCTAATCACTTAGATTTAGAAAGATGCGGTTTATGCGTGCCATTCACATCGGTCTTTTAAACATTGCTTTTACTGTATATGTATTGGGATTTTACAGTAAAATGGCTATGATCTTTCATAAGTTTAGGCACAGGACGAGAGAAGTGACCTGCGTGCCCATTCAAATTATTTTCTGTGAAAATGCTGTTAAGAGAAATAGCAAAGTTACCTTAGAACCCTCATTTTCATTTTATTTTTTTAATTAGAAACTTTAGGTCAAGTCTTTTATAAAGGCCATACCAGTGGGGAGAAAGTGCCTTTTTTTTTTTTTAATTGCTGAATTTAAAGCGTTTGAGATGTTAGATTTCCTTTTACATGTGCCAATGCAAAGCATGGGGTAGATACAACAGTCAGAACTAATTGTTTGTGGAGGGTCATGACCTTTCCCTAAATTGCTTCAGTGCCAATGGGTATTCTACCAAAAAGGATGATTGCATCAATGAACGATGAATTGAAAAGTAGGGTTTAATTGCAGGTTGATGTGCCACATTTTTTTATCTAAAAATAAGTAAATGTTATGTAGTCAGATCTGAAAACACACACACACACACACACATACACACACACACACACACACACACACACACACACACACACACTGCCTTGTGTTTGACAGAGTAGAACTGCTCCGTAGGATTTTCTTGGCTTTCATCTTGAGGGAAGAAGATGGCCCAGCCTGCTTCCTCTGCTGTGCCCCTGGGTGGGTTTGAACTCCCAGCCTTGTACTTACCAGCTGAGCACAAACCACCGGCACCACTCAAAGCCGTTTGTACCAGGAGTCCCAGGAAGCAGCTCTCTGCAATGAGGGCCCTTCTTTCTCCTGGAACACCCTTGGGCCTCGTCCATGGCAGCAGTAGAACCTCCCCTCCGCCCAGACTCCCTCTGGGTGAGCCTGTGAGGCAAGGGAGCTGCTCAGGACAGAGGTGGCGTCAGATCATTTCCATCACTTGGGCAGCGCTGATTGAGAACCACCCCACCCCCCACGGCCCCCAGGCACAGAGGTCACGCTGTTGTCCCAGGCTGAGTGGAAGCAATCCCAGAATCCCTCACGATGGGCCTGTCTGACCTGGAGACCAGCTACGCCGCCCATTGTCTGTGTCTCAGACTGTGCTGGGTGCCCACGGGCACTGCCCCGGAGTCTCCTTCCCTTGGCCTGAAATTGCTGTGGCACAAGCGTTGGTCTGCTAACCGCAAGCTCCCGCGGTTCAAACCCAGCAGCTGCTCTGTGAGAGAAAGATGAGGCTGTCTGCTCTCATGAAGATTTACATATAAGGTCCTATGAGTTGGAACTGACTTGATAACATGGGGTTTAGACTTGGCTTTGTGGGGTGCCTAGCTAGAGTTTCTGTCGCCAGTGATCAAGGAGCTTCTCACAGGCCCAACTCCCTGTGTTCTCGGGACAGCCACAGCGACCCAGAGTAGGGACAGGGAGAGGGGTCTGTCCTATCACTCGCTGGTCCCGGTGGCTCTGTGACCCTAGCACGGTGCTCTGGCAGCGTGAATGTACCAGCAGCGGGCCGTGCAGGAGAGTCAAGGTTGCATCTAACACGCCCAGAATTATTCAGCTCACGGCCATCAAGTCCAGTCTGGCTCATGGCGACCCTGTGGACAGAGTAGACCTGCCTTGGAGGCTTTCAGAGCCTGTAAATCTTTACAGGAGCAGAGAGCCTCCTCTCGAGCGAGCAGGCGGTCAGATGAGATCTGGGATCTGCAAAGCCCAGCAGTCCAGTTGCAGAGGGAGGAAGGCCCAAGTCAACCCAACCCACTGCGGTCCAGTCAGCTCCGCCTCCCTCGTGCCGGCCCCACCCCCACCCCCGGTACAGAGCAGAACTGCCCTGGTGCCCTCCTCTCGCTCTCTTCTGTTGACTCTGCTTAACCTCAGAGAGACCCTGTGGGCCCAGGGGGTGATTTTGCTTCTGAGTCCATGGCCCCAAACCCCTTTGCCTCTCAGGCTCCCCCAAGTACAGCCAGGGACTCCTGTCTACCCGCCTCCAAGATGCATTTGTGTGTTTTGTTTTCCACAGATGGGCCACAGAGGATTTGGAGTTCATTAACAAGTGGGCCTTCCAGGGGGAGAGGGTGATCCACGGGAACCCCTCCGGAGTGGACAATGCTGTCAGTACCTGGGGTATGTGCTGCCTGCCCCCCAGACTCTCTAGCCAGTGTTTCAGCCCTGCCATGGGGTCTTGGCCACTGAGACAAGGAGAGAAGTGCAGGCTCCGTTGGGGGGTTAGGAGGAGCTCTAACACACCCCCACCAAGACCAAATGGGGGTGGGTGCGAGGACCGGGAGTCTGTGGTTCGATGGGCCCTGAGCGGGACCGTCTGGAAAGCGGCAGACTCATCGCTGCGGGGTGGAGTTAGCATGTTGCCATTCAGTAAGGTGGAGGTTGCTAAATGCTCCCCTGGGCAGCACAGGGCCCATCTGCTCAGAGCAGGGAGCGGGGAGTATGGCTCAGGAGCCCCAGTCCTGTCCCAAGCAGCCTGGGGGACACTGGAATGCTGTCTTGGCCTGATGGCCCCCTGTGAACGAAGCTGAGGGCAGTTTGTGTTGTTCAGCCTGTGCCCAGATGGGGTGGCGCTCCAACCCCAGCCCAGACTCCAGCCTGTTCCTCCCCGCCGCTCTAAACCCACTGTTTTGCCCATAGGAGGAGCGCTCCGATACCAGCGAGGACAGATGACACCGTTAAAGAGGTAATTCCTGGGTGGGGCATCACACAGGGCAGTTGTCCCAGGCTCTCGATGCCCCAAGGTGACCCTCACAAAGGGACCCCGGGTGACAATGGCTTTTCTGTTCTCCAGTTCCACTCTTACATTGTCAGGAATGAGAGGGCGGAATCATGCGTGCCTGCGCCATCCCCACCCCCCACCCCCAACACACACCTCCAGAAACTAGCTGGCTGTTCTCCCAGACTCTTGGCTGCTTGTCCATCTGCCACACATCCATCCATCTTCTACCCATCCATCCATCCATCCATCCATCCATCCATCCATCCATCCATCCATCCATCCATCCTCCTGTCCACCCACTCTGCTGTCTAGTCATGTCCTGAGCAGGAGTTGCTCTGTCCTGGGCCGAGAGAGATTGAAGACCAGCCTCAGGCCCTTAGAGCTCAGTGTACAGTGGTGTGTGTGTGTGTGTGTGTGTGTGTGTGGCGGGGGTTGGGGGTTGTCCCAGGACACTGTGTCACCTCAGTGGGCCTTCCCAGGGCTGTGAGGGTCCCAAGCCCCACCTTCAACCCCATCTTAAGCTAGCACAGTGTTCCAGCTGGGCAGAGCACCCCCATTCACGGCTCCGCACCCACCCTGTGCTGGCTCGGTGACCTGCCGGGAGCCTCCCCTGTCTTTCCTGAAGCTCACTTACCACCAGACCCTCTCAGCTTGGCGTTAGTGAAGCCCAAGGCTGGAGAGTTCTTTATGGAAAAGGCTGCCCTGGGGCACGGGTCAAGGCACCCTGGCTTCTGCCCACTGGGTAGCACTGCTCCCTCCTCCAGACGTTGACAGGTCTCCCTGGAGGGCAGGGCTGGTCCTGGCTGAGCACTGGAAAAGCTTCCTGGCTGTGCGTGGGGACGTGGGCTCTGCCGGCCCACAGAATCCACACGCAGCCAGAATAGGAGTGTGTGGAGGATGGAGGCGGCTGTGTCTGGGCCCGGCCTGCTGAGTCCGCCTCTCGGCCTGATCCTCAGAGAGGTGCCTGAGGGGTGATCCCAGAGTGCAGATCAGGGGGGCCTTCAGGGAGGCTGCAGCCCGAGCCGCCCAATCCTGCCCCCTCGTGTTTTCTGGGAGCTGCTGGTATCCTGAGCCCTATTTTGGGCCCCAAGGAGGGGAAATAAAAACGTGGCCGGGGCATCCTTTGGGGAGCCAGGTGTGGACAGGAGGGCAGGCCAGCAGGCTCAAAGCCTCAGGGGTGGGAGGTGGGGGGTTCTGAGCAGCGGGCTGGGGTTGGCAGGCCTGTCGGGGGAGCCCAGCATCTCCACCTGCCAGCCAGGTGGCTGTGGGTGAGCCACGCCTCACGTAGCTAAGGGGATTCAGGAGCGCACGTGGGCTGACCGTCACATTGCGGCCCTACGGTGGGGCTCCACAGGGAGCGCAGCTGCAGCCCGCTGTCCTGCAGCTCAGTTGCAGGATGAGGCAGCACAGCCGTCAACGGCTGTCGGCATGGCAGGAGGGCCGGTCCTCCCGGGGGAGGGACACTAACACATTCCGAGTGAGGAGGGGGCTTCAGCGAGCTCAGTGAAAACGGGAACTGAAGGAAAATGGAATTTCCCCACGATCTCTGTGAAGCACCCTTCCTATTTTCTTACAGCCCCGGGGACTGGCTCTTGCCCTCGGCCCTGGTGGGGAGGCCCTGGTGCTCAGGCTCCATGGCACTTCTCCCCCAAACGGCCCCATTTGGATTCGCGTTGGTGTCTTTTTGTCTCCTTTTATCATTCAGAAGGGATGCAGGTCTAGAACAAAGACAGACATCTCTTCCCCTGGTATAAACCACGGATCGAAAAAACAAAACAAAAAGCAAGCCGCGGCCATCACTCATAGCTGCCCTGCTCAGGGTTTCCAGGGCTGTCGATTGTTACCGGAGTCGACGGCCTCATCTTTCTCCCTCTGATTGGCTAGCAGTGCAGTGCATCTTCACGTTACACCAGAACACCGAACCCAATGCACTGCCATCCAGTCGATGCCAACTCAGAGCGACCCTCTTGCACAGGGCAGGACTGCCCCTGTGGGTTTCGGAACTGCTGACCTTGCAGTGAGTAGCTCAACACGTCACCACTACGCCACTCCTAGGTATAACTAGGTATAACTACGCCACTCCTAGGTAAATGGAGGGGGCAGCTGGTTGTCTGAACAAAGGTCAGGGCCGCAGTGTGCTGGCGCTGGAGGAGCCCTGGCCAGGTGTAGTCCTAGGAGAGGGAGCAGTGGAGAGTCGGGCAGACTAGCTATGCACTGATAGGGCCCAGCCCCCGAGGTGCTTGCCCAATGCTGTGGGAGCCCTGGGGTTGTGGGGGGACTGCTGGCAGAGGACTTGTCTAAGCGAGGTGGAGACCCCCGGCTCAGGCCTGTCCCTTGCTGACGGCAAGGTTCGGAGCAGCATGACCTTGGAGATGTGCTGCAGGTGCCACCTTGAGCAGATGGCGCGTCTTCTGGGCGTGTGGCCCGCAGACCACGTGGGCTTCCCCACGAGGAAGTAGAGCAGGATGGGGCGTCCAGAATGCTGCCTTCAGGAGAACAGCCTGTCTTTGGAGGGAAGAAAAGAAAACCGAACGGAACGTTTATCTTTTGTAAAGTTTGAGGGGAAAACAAAGGGTCTGGCCTCCAGGCGGGATCAATATCAATTTCATGGGCTCCTGGGCGGGGAGATGAAGCCAGCTCTGGGCTCGACAGCCCTGAACCATGAAGAGAAAAGGGCATAGGGGTCCCTGGGTCGGGTAGCTCCAGCGGTCTCAGGTCAGAGTTCACTCCCAAAGGCAGGCTGGGGAGATGGGAGGTGGTGACTGGAGTCCCCAAACACAGCCACAGGGTCACACTGCCAGAGGCTGGGGACAGGATAGGACCGATGGCAGTATGTGGCACCTCCCCTGGGCCAGGCGTGTGGCTCCGTCCAGGCAGCGCCCTGCCCTCCTGCTTGCCTCCAGATTACGCCACTTTGGCATCCTCCCCACACCATGCTCCCCTGCCCTCCATCCTGAATCACGCTGGGCCTGCCCTCTCCACTTGTCCTTGTGCTGCAGCTGCCAGCTCTGCTGCCTCCCGACTGTCCCCTGCCGGCAGACACCATGTCCTCCCATGTGCCCTGCTCTGGGATCATCACCCAGCCCCGCTTCTCCGGGGGCTGTGCTCCTTCACATGTGCCGACACATAGTAGGTGTGCAGTTAGAAGCGAATGACTGACTAAAGAGTTGAGGAAAAGCGCCCAGGACCCCAGGACCTGAAGCGGAAGGGGGTGCTGCTGGAGAGGCACACTTGCTGGGCTTTCCCCCCACCTGCACCCCCAGCTACCTGGAGCAGGGAGGGCTGCTGTCCAGGGCTTCCCCAGGCCCTGCCAGTTCCTCCTGCAGGAGGGTCGCTATGGACCGTGCTCTTCTCCCCTGGCAGGCCCCCGGCTTTGAAGATCTTGTTGACCAACACCCAAGTGCCCCGCAGCACCAAGGCTCTCGTGGCCAACGTCAGGAGCAGGCTGATCAAGGTGCTCCTCCCACAGCTCCAGGGCGGCCACAGCAGTCAAACTGGATGGACGGGCTGGAGCGGGGGAAGGTTTGCAGGTGGGGTGGGGGGGGAGCAGTGGCCCAGGGACTTGAGCAGGTGATAATCGACCCCAGCCAGGAGGTGGGACAGGGACACTCCTGAAAGGACAGTGATCTGGCTGGACTGTGCCTCTGCTCCCAAGGATGCTGGGCTGGGCAGAGAGCTGGTGGGAAGTAGAGAGGACCTGAGAGGACAGGGATAGGGTGGGGTCCTCCCCCCGCCCCCCACCCGTCGCTGAGCCTCACAGGACCTTCCTTCCTCCCTCTGCAGTTCCCCAAGATCGTGGCCCCTCTCCTCGACTCAATGGACGCCATCTCCCTGGAGTGCGAGCGGGTGCTGGGGGAGACAACGGAGGCAGGCCTGGCCCCGGAGCAGTACCGCATGCTCGAAGTAAGGCTCAGGGCCCCCAGGAGCCTGTGAGCCGAGTCTGGGAGGGCGCATGCAGGACAGGGCCTGGCTCAGAGGAAGTGCAGCAAGGGGCCGTGAGCACGCTGGGTCAGGTGGGCCATGGGGCCATGCTGAGGCATGACTTCCCCACCCCTGCGGGTTTTGCTCTCTACATCTCCTTATTCATCCCACGCTTCTTCCTCAGCGCCCCGCTTTGGTCAGAGGTGTCCTCAGATTGTCCTCTCTGCCCTGTGACCGCCATCGCCACCATTTGCATAATTCCACTGGCGAGCATGGAGATGCAGGCTGGCTTTGGCCAGGGTCCGAATCCTGGCTCTGGGCCCTGCCAGCCTCTTTGGGTGGCCCAAGAGGGCAGCGAGATCCTGATGGGCCACCCACCCACTCAGTAACCAGGGGCATGGGCCCATGAGTGTGGACTATCATAGCAAAGCCCACAGGGGGCGCCCTTTAGAGACCTGGGAGACAGGCAGCTCTGAGCTAACTGATGTGGCCATGTGGCTGGCGTTGCGGAGGGCTGGGCAGGTGGCCTCCAGCTGGCCTAAACCCCCACTGCCCCCTACTCTGTCACAGCCTGCCACAGTCCTGTGCCTCCCTGTCCCCCGTTGGCATGGGTGTCTGCCGCCCCTGCATTGAGTGGGAGCTGCTTCTATGCATCCCGCTTCACACATGGTGGGTCAGCGCAGCCTTCCAGCAGCGTACCTGGGAGGCAGACCGCTGCCCCATCTGACAGATGTGAAAACAGAGGCTGAGGGAAAGAGGCGCCTTTCTACTTCAGTGAGGGGCTGAGCCAGGGTCAGGTGGATGCGTTTATGTAGCCCCTTCTTCAGGAGCCCTGGTGGTCTAGTGGGTTATACATTGGGCTGCTAACTGCAAGGTCAGTAGTTTGAAAGCACCCACCGCTCCTCGGGTGAAAGATGAGGCTGTCTTCCCCTGTAAAGAATTATAGTCTCAACAACCCACAGGGGCAGATCGACCCTGTTCTATAGGTCCGCAATGAGTCAGCATCATTGACTTGAGAGCAGTGACCTTGTTTGTTTGTTTTTTAAAATTCAGCTTCAGGAGCCCTTGCATCATAGTGAGTAGTGAGTGCATCTGCCAGTGGCGTGAACCCACCGTTACTCAGCAGGAAAAAGATGAGGCTGTCTACACCGACAGAGTTGTAGACTTGAAAACCCACAGGGGTATTTCTACCCTGACCTGGAGGGCTACTGGGAGTCGGCATTGCCTCGATGGCAGTGGTCTGCGGCTTACTGGGTGAATCTTTAATGAGCTCCTGCCCCTGCGTGTTTGCCCTCCTCCTCCCTGCTGGCTGCCTCCGGTCTGGCCGTGCCTGCCTGCCTCTCAGCTCCATCACAGAGAAAGGCTGCACAGTGCTGGAAATGATCGGTGGCAAGAGGACTGCAGGGACTGTGTGTGTGTGTGTGTGTGTGTGTGTGTGTGTGTGTACCCAGCCAGCCGTTCTCCTGTGACCTGCCACCTGAGTCTTGACAGATTTTGGCTCTGAATATGACAGGTGTCTGGAAGCTGCCTTGGCGGTATGACACCTGGCACTCAGGCGCGGAGCGAGGCCCCGGGAGGCTTTCGCTCCCTTGCAGCCCACAGGGCTGGTGACAGGCACCGAGCCATCACACCTGTCTGCTCCTAAGTGTTGGGGCCTGTGAGGCCGGGTGGCGGGGGAGGGTGGCTTCAGGTATGGCCGGACCCAGGAACTGACATGATGTGGTTGGAATTGTTCCCCACCTTCCATGTACTCTCCGGCCATGTGGCGAGGTGGACTCTGGTAGCCTGCGCCCAAAGTCAAAGAGTTTTTAGCAGTTTCAGGGTCAAGGGGCAGCGAAAGCCACAGTGGGAGGGGGAGGAGTCCTCACTGGTGTAGCTGAAGCCCCATACTCCCTCCCTTCCCATACACTGGGGAGGCCTGGAGTCCAGACAGGGGGGACTTTTGCCAGAAGTGGGGGTGGTGTGCGAGTGGTCACGGCCGGGCGCTGTCCAGGCCGTGGGCCCAAGTAAGCAGTGCCTCTCTCCCCCAGGAACTGATTGACATGAACCAGCACCACCTGAATGCCCTTGGGGTGGGCCACACCTCACTGGACCAGCTGTGCCAGGTGACCAGGGCCCAGGGACTGCACAGCAAGCTCACTGGAGCGGGCGGCGGCGGCTGTGGCATCACACTCCTCAGACCAGGTACCCACCTGGGCACGGGCAAGGGCATGGCCATGAGGGGTGGGCATGGAAGAGGCTTCTCCATGCCCCCTGCGCTGCTGCATGGGCCTTGGATGCATTAGCGCTCTGGTCTAATGGGTACCTACCCGCATGGTCAGTGGTTCGAACCCACCAGCCCCCCAGTGGCGAGGTTATTTGCTCCTGTAAAGATTGACAGCCTCGGAGACTCAGGAGGCAGTTCTTCTCTGCCCTCGAGAGTCCCTGGCAGTTGGAATGGGCCCCAGGGTTGGCTTTGGGTCTCTGGGCCTTTGTTCCATCCTCAGGAAAACACGGACAGTGGGCCCTGGCTCACGAAGAGAGCACTGCAGTTTGAGAACTTTGTGTAGAGCTGGCCTTGCGGTCAGGGCTTGTTTCTGGTGGACACTCCCCCCCCACACTTCCCCCACTGCCTCCTAGTCTACCAGCCAACCCACACCAGGGTAATAGACGTGACAAGGTCAGCGCCAACTGGCTGACACACTGGGGTGTCTGTCACGCGGCTGACTTTGCTGTGAAGGCAAGTGGTGTGGGTTCCTCCCAAGAGCCCGGGAGGGGCTCTTGGTCATGTTCCACCACCAGGCCATCACAGCTGCCCTTCAGACCAGCGCTGGCCCACCATCCAAAATGCCAGAATGCTAAACCCACTGCCCTTGGCTGATCTCGACCCATAGCCGCCCTGGTCAGGATGGGTCTGGGTGACTCTAGTGTAAACTCTGTGTGTGTATATTTTCATGCCCCCACCCCCCATGTGGACACCTGAGTGGCATTCATTGTGTGCCTCACCCTTGACCACCTCCAAATTGCCCCCTTACCAGAAACTTCCCGTCCCCTCAGCAGCTGGCTTCTTGCCACTGCCTGCGCGCCCAGTAGACCCACTCCCATAATCCCTGCCGTGGAGTCACACGATACTCATCTTCTTGTGACTAACATGTCACGCAGCATGGTGTTTGCCGAGCCCTCTGTGCAGTGGCACGTGTGGGGCTGGCTGATAGGCCATGGTTAGTGTGCCCTCCAGGCCTCTGTTGACGGGCGCTGGAGTTGTCCCAGGAACACTGGTGGCCGAGACTCTGTGAACATGCCTGCTCCCGTCCCATCTGTGGCGCTGCTGTCCACGCACCCCTTCCAAGGCTGCCTTTGTAATGCCCCCACCATAGTGCACTGGGCCCGGCTCCAAGTTGTCGGCACGCTTAGTCAGGCCTCCCTCTCCGAGTCCTGTGGTTGGCCAGTTTTAAAGACTCCTAGCTGGCCTGGTGGGTCTGGGGCCTGTGCTGTGAACTGCCCTTCCTCAAGCCCCCAAGGGAGGGTGCACCACACAGAGCGGCTGCAGACACCCAGGTGTGCTGCTGGTGGGGTGGGGACCACAGATGGGCAGAGCCTGGCAGGCAGGCCGGCAGGTAAGCCATCGCCTTTGCCCTGCATGGGGAGGAGCGCTCTCTGCAGGAGGCTGGCACTGGGTGGCTCGGGGTGACCTGCTCTCTTTCTCCCGCAGATGTGGGGCAGCCAACGGTGGAGGTCACCAAGCAGGCCCTGGCCGGCTGTGGGTTTGACTGCTGGGAGACCAGCATCGGTGCCCCGGGCGTCTCCATCCACCAGGCCGCCTCCCTGGATACCGCCATCAGGCAAGCCCTGAACGGCTTGTGAGACAAGCCATGCCACTGCAGCCACCCTCCACCCCTGGCCAGAGGCCTCTTCCTGGGTCCTGGGTGCAGGAGTCAGCTGATGGGCACACCAGCTTGTGGCTGAGCCCACAGTGGGCCGTCACCAGGGAGTTTCAACATGCCCTTGGGTGAGTCAGCAGTGGGGCTCTGAGACATGAGACCTGAGCTGGAGGAGCTGCTTGGCCAACCGCCCAGGGGCACCAAGAGGCCCGTCCACTATGGGCCTCTGCCTTCACCTTCACCTTCGCCTTCAGGGTTCCAGCCACGTTAGGTGGAAGCTTGGGTGCAGGCTGTCTGGGGTCTGCAGCAGCGTGCCTTATCTGTCCTCTGTCCTCCCAGGACTTGCCCTGGGTGACCCCTGCCTCCTGGACCTCCAGGGCACTACAATCTGTTCTGAGTGCTCAGCACCATGTGACTGTCCCCCCACCCCTACCAACTGGACCTCTGGAGGTGACCTTGCCCACTTGTCTCTGCTCATGGTGGGTGCGAGGGTTCGAGGGTTTTGGTGAGGGCAAGACCGATCTGTGATTTCCTCCAACCTGCCCTGGAGTGGTGGCGGGAAAGGGGCGAAGGGCCCTGGAGGGCCAGCCAGTGTGTCCCTCCACGTCCAGGAGGAAGGCCGAGGAGCTGCAGACCACAGGCCAGCCCCTGTGCCCTCTGCAGCCCCTTCTCCTAGGAGCTGAAGGAAATAAAAGGGTAATGTCACTTGGCTTCGTGTTTGAGAAAGGTTTTTGCAGGTGGCTCCCTCGCAGCATGATGGTGTTAGGCTCCCCGTTCTTCCAGCGCCCCATCCACACATGGACGCTAGCCAGCCGTGGACACACACGAACATGCCTTCCCTTTGAAGGGCACATAGCCCGGCAGGCCCTGCTCACAGCCCAGAGTCCAGCACCTCCCTGGTCCTGTCTGAACGTTATATCACCATGAACTTGGCTCTTTCTGAAATGGCAGAAGCTCCAAAGGCCCGCTCCTTCAGTGCACTGCCAGCAGATGCTCCAGCAGCAAATGGCCGGGCGCAGAGCCAGGCTCCGGGCAAGGATGCTGGGATCTAACTGGGCCCTGTGCACGCCTCCCCTTTACCACTAGGGGGCAGCGGCGTTTTCCCCAGCATCTTCCTAGGGAGGTTGGGCCAAGCAGGGCTAAGAACAGCTATCCAGCCCCAGTGCCCAACCTCCCTCTGGCCTCTGCCCTGGGGTTGCTGCCAGGAACACAACGTGTGGAGAGGGTGTTAGCAGTCACTAACTAGTGCAAATGGCCCCGGCCTCACTGGTGGGGTCCCCTATACCTCAAAGCACAAATCACGCATTAAACAAAAAGATTTGCATCAGACACCAGGCAATACATCATCTCTTTGGATCTCTCTCCCAACACTAGAAGGCCAGTGCTAGACTTCTCCCCATTGTATTGACCAGGAAACAGAGGTTCAGCGAGGTTGAGTAAGTTGTCTGGAGCCGAACAGGTAAACCAGCATCTCAACATCAGTGTCTCCCAAAGCAGGTGATGCGATCGTCCCTTGGGGGCACTGGAATAATCCAGAGGGGCTGCAAAAGCAGATACCTACACTTGATCTTGGGTTGGGGGCTATAGGTCAAAGGTTTTTAACTGCCAGGGAGCACTGAGTCTTTTTTTCTTTTCTGGAACGGAGGCGGTAGGCCAAGTAGGTTTGGGACCCTATGCCCTACATGCTATCGCCTAGCACAGCCCAGCTCAAAGCGCCTTGACACAGCGTCTCTTGCTTCAGGGACCCGGTGGTATATTGGTTATGTGTTGGGCCGCTAACCCCAAGGTCAGCAGCTTGACGCCAACAGCCACTCTGGGGAGAAAGATGAAGCTTTCTAATCTGATAAAGAGTCCCAGACCCGGAGCCCACACCCAGACCCAGTTCTCCCTGCCTTACAGGGTCACTGTGAGTTGGAATCGACCCAATGGGAGAGAGCTCGGTTGGTTCTTTGTCAGCATCCAGGCTCCGGTTCCGTCTTTCCTCTGGATTCGGATGTGCTTGGTCAGGGCCGGGCGCTTGGCTCTGATGTTTTCTCAAGCCCCTTCTGAAAAAGCCAGCCCACTTCCCTCAAGTCAGCTCTGCCTCACAGCGACTCTATGGGAACAGGTAGAAGTGCCCCTGTGGCTTTCTGAGACGAAGTCCTTTGGGGAGTAGACAGCCTCGTCTTTCCCCTGAAGAGTGGCTAGTGGGTTCAAACTGCTAACCTCGAGTGAGCAGCCCAACCCATGACCACTGTGGCACCAGAGCTCAGTCAGGGTTGGGAGATGCTGTTCTCCAGGACAAAGCTGGCTCCGGCCAGAGGAGGTGGTCCTGGGAACCCCCTAAGGTTTCCGTAGCTGCCCATGGCAGTAGGGTGGTGCTGTGTGAGGAGGGGCAGGGGCCACAGGCTGGAGCCCCAAGAACCTCCCTGTTCCCCTCATTCCCTGGGAACAGGATGTCACTCCTGGGGCAGAGGTGACCTGTCACACTCGCCCCATTGAGGCGACTGCCTGTGGGCCTGAGCCAGCATGGCCTCCTGGCACTTGCCAGGGCCACTCAGCTCCACACGCGCATACATCGCTGCCTGCCTGGCTGATAGCCCACTTGCGGATTATTTGTATTTCTGGGTCATTATGGGCCCCTCTCTTCCCTTGCCGCACACTCCACCTGTGCCCAAGAATCACTGGGGGACGGGGGGCCTTTTTAAGAGCACCCAGATCCTGTTCCCACTCCAGAATTTCTGATGGCATTGGCCTCAGCAGGACCCCCATCCCCAATTTTTCTTCAAAAGTTTCCAGGAGGTTCTAATGGGCAATCAGGCCCTAGGACATTTTGCGAGTCAGAGCCCCCAGGCCTGCATCTCCCTCCGAAGCCACCCCGCAGGCAGAGAGGCCTCCTTACTTGGACCTTGGGAATGACCACAGGACCCACCGGTACAGGCTCCCAGAAGATTGGATGAGAGAGGACACCTAGCCCACAGTCAGTGCTCCATAAATATTTACTGAACCCAGGTGATAGAGTAGTTATCCACTGGGCGTATACCCTGCCCCATAGCATCGCTATGAGCCAGAACCTGAAAGGCAAGGAGTGTCTCGGAGTGCGGGACATGTGTGCAAGCCCCCTAGGCTGGGGCCCCCGGGTCACCGCTGAGGAACAGCTATCACCCCCTGGCCTTCCTGTCACCCAGCTGTTCCCTCTTTGCCACCTAAGGACAGCAGCCTCTCATTTGGAGTTAGCCTTTCCAGCTGGTACGGGTCCAACACCTACCCTCACTGCCCGGTTCACAGAGCGGGGCCCTGCCCCACCCCCCCAGCCCCTCCGCCAGTTCTGGCCGTGTCTCACGTGGGAAAACAGGCTGCAAAGATTGTGACCGACTCCGAGAGGGCTGTGCTGGGTGGGCACTGCTGGCGAAGATCCTGGCTCCCTGAGTGGCAGTGGACATATGCCAGGGCCCCGTCTGTCCTGTGGGAACTCAGGGTCCTGTTCCATCAGACCCCCATGACCACTCCCTGCACTTTCACTCTGCATCCTTGCAAAGAGGCTCCTCCCACCCCACCCTTCCCTGGCTCCCTTCCCCTTAGTCAGCACCTGCTGTGTGCCAGGTCCAGTCATGAGGAAAACCGAGGGGGCTAAGCGATAGACCTGCAGGCACCCAGCCAGGAGGAGGAGGGGCCAGGCTCCAAAGGCCAGCTCCCCGGCCTTCAGTCTGCCCGCTGGAAAATGATTTGTCTTTGATGATCGCCCAAGGAGTCGTGGTGGTCAGCAGTTCGAAACCAGCAGCAGCTCCTCAGGAGAAAGACTGGGCTCTGCTGTCCCGTGAACAGTTACCATCTCAGAAACCCCTGGGGCTGGGGGCTGGGCGGGGGTGGGGGTTGGGGGTGGGGTCGCTCTGAGTCAAACAGACTCAATGGCAGGGAGTTTGTGTGTTTGGTTGTGTGTTACTGCAAAGACTTGCGGGAGCTCCCCAGCGTTTTGGGAGAGAGCTCTACGAGGTTCATGCCATTTTCCATGAACTTTTAAAATCTCCCTCCCCGAGCGCAGTGGAGACAAGGCAGTGCAGATAAGCGGAGGTTTGAAAAATGGAAGAAGAGATCACAGGGGTTTTGCCCTTTCTCGTGAAGCGGGGTTTCCTCTTGTGCTGTCCTGTGCCCTCTGCTTTTCGGTCAATGTGCTTTGTCATCCCGACTGGTCGGTCCTTCATCTCATGCCCCCAGTCATCTCCAAAATGCCCACAGTCCTGTCCAGGACTGCACATCTGGCTGCCACAGCCTCAAACTGAGTAAACTGAGACCCAGGGGGAAGGGTGGCAGGAAATGACTCGCCCAGGGCCTCACAGCAAGCAAGTGGCAGAATGGGGCCTTGAGCCCAAGTCTGTGCAGCCCCTGTGAGCTCTATGGCCCTGTCATGGGACAAGTGAGCCACTACCTCCCTACATGGGAGGAAACGGGACGCCGGGTGGAGGGAACCAGCACCACACCTGTGTCTTCTCAAAACCAAGGGACAAGGGTGTGTGGTCTCCATCCCAAACCTAACCAGCACATCAGTCATTTGTTAAAGGGACTCAGCTGTCAGGGTCACCAGGGTCCTCTGAGACCCCATGGCCCAACACCTTGTGTAGTAGTTACATAATCTGGTGTCAATTTGAGAGGATTATGAGTGAAGGGGTTGAGTCTGGCCTGTCAATCAAGATCTAACCAATGAGGCCTCTGTGTGGGCATGACCTCCTGAGAATTCTGGGAACTCCTGTATTTTCCTCCTTGGAGGCGGGAGACACTGCTCTCTCCCTTGGAGACACTCTATGGACAAGACATACGGTGCTATGCCCTGGGAGCTGGGGAAGCCACATGGACCTACCATGATGCAAGCAGACCTCTGGAGCCGGAGCAGGACTTTGTAGATTGGTATCGGACATATGGGCTAATATTGGACTTATGGACTTGATCTGGACTAGGTTGGGACGTTTTCTCAATATTCAATAGCTCTTATATATAAACCTCTTCCTTATATACATATGAATGTCTATGAATTTGTTTCTCTAGTCTACCGGGACTAACACACCTTGTTTGCTGGGCCCAGAGAGGGCAAGACACCTGCCTAAGGTCACACAGCAAGCTGTCTCGTCCACTTACCATTTGGTTTCCCCCTAGCCTGCTCTTCTCCACACCCTCCATACCCCACTTCTCCCGAAAAGGCTCACTTACCCAGTCAACTGTACCATGCGGCCTGCTCCCAGACACTGCCCACGAGGCATCCCCTCCAGGCAGGGATGGCTACATTCATTGCAACCACCGCTTTGGGGAGAGGGTGGGCACAGCGGATGTGTGTTGGAATTCAGAATCCCTCAGGCCGGTGGAAAAGGCACCCTCCATTCCATGCCTGGTGGCATCCTCAGCCCTCCCCCAGACTCCCACAGTTTCCACAGTGGAAGGTAGGAAGAACCCATTTGGGCTAGTTCACGCATAAATGTCGCCTCCCTCCGTTCCCATCGGGTTTCCCTCCATGCTGCGTCCGGGTGCCAGGACCCTGGGTTTAGTTGTGTTTCTGGTTGTCACACCAGAATTTGCACAGTCACACCCCCAATTTGCAGAGATGCAGCCCCCTGAGAGCCTCGGTGACCCCCGGGGCCACAGAGCTGCAAGGGGGTGGATCTGAACCCTGCGGGCTGGCTGGACACAAGCCTCTCCTCCCCTGTTTCGGAGGCCGGCTCAGTGGCCTTCTTGGTTGGGACC